GGGACCTGGCAGTAATCAGTGCCTTTCCTCCTTGCTCTTCACGACCCATTACACCTATTTAGTAAAATCCTAAGAAAATGAATCTAGAGTTTCCCAACCAGTGATCTGTAAGACGCAGGACACATTTTAACTGCCCTACCCCTGCTTCCTTCCCCACCATTTTCTTAGTGATGTGACTATGGATTTTCTCTCCTCCCCCATCCTTTTCTTTTATCTCATTTCCATAGTCTAGAATAGAGAATATACAGAATTTTCCTTTTCATAGTGCAATTTTCATCGTAAATATCATTTGAGACCAGTCCCTTGCTGTCATTTGGTTTAATGTGATGGCACTACACGTTACTGGGACTCACCTTACCCATCTGGTCTGTCCTGTGCAAAGGTGAAAGTCACCTGGCTCTGACTCTCAACACACAGCCAGCATAGAATTAAAAACCAAACAAAACTGGTTTTGATCATTGAACTTTGGTTTTGTAAGATGTTAACATTAGAAGTTGGGTGAAAGGTCTACAAGAATTCTCTGTACCATTTTTGTAACTTTTCTCTGCAGTCTAAAGTTATTTTTAAATAAAACCTTTTAGAAAGCCATCGAAAACCTTCCAATGTTGCCTTGTGTACAGCTGATGCCCTGAAGCTCACTAACAATTAATTCACTTTAATAGAAATAAATGGCTTGAAGTTCATAAATAATTCACTTTCACCTTGCACTAACTTTTTCAACCATTTCTCCTAACAGCCTCAGCTCTTGATCACACGCCTGAGATTCACTTTTACAGTTTGACACATGATGCTGGCCAATGGTTTCTGAATTTTGCCTTCTTTTCATAAGAACCCTTTTGTTTGGGACCATTCAGCCCCCAGTATCCTTCCCAAGAGGGAGGTCAGGCTTCCTGGGCTGGCTCCCAAGGACTCACCAAAATTAATCTTCCCTACAGCCACCACGGAAGCTCACCACTTTCAAAGCTTGTAGGCGTTCCTCGTGGAAAAGTGAGCATGGTCAGAGACACCTCTTACCCACCTCCTTTCAGAGATATCACTGTTAGTCTTCTTTCCAAGGTCAGAACTTGGCCCTGGGAGGTTGACCCCCAGTGTCTTTCCATTGGCTTGACCTCTTAAGCCCTTAGCCATCCTGACCAGAAGAGGGAGTAGTCACAACAGGAAACTTCTAGTTCTGGCATTAGTCTTCCCCAACTCCCAGTTATTTGCTTAGTCTGTTCAAGTGAATCTCTGCTCCTGTTTCCCACTTGGCATAGACTGCTATGCATAGACTGCTATCCTAAATTCTTGTTTTAAATTATTATTTATTTGGCTGCGCCGGGTCTTAGTTGTGGCATGAGGGACCTTCGTTACTGCATGTGGGATATTTAGTTGCGGCATGTGGGATCTAGTTCCCTGACCAGGGATCAAACCCAGGCCCCCTGCATTGAGAGCACGGAGTTTTAACCACTGGGCCACCAGGGAAGTCCCTGCTATCCTAAATTCTTACTGTGTAAAAAGATTAACAGTGGTGACCTTTCCCTCTTACCTTTTGAAGTAATATGTGCAAAGAAAAAAAAATTTTAAACCAAAGTCACTCATAATTCCATTAAGCAACAAAAAAGGGATAGCAACTGGGGTTTTAAAAAACAGAATCATAATATATTTTTATTTATACTTATTTTCTGGTATTCTGATTCTTAACTCAATAAAGGATATCTACCAGAAATCTACTTCAAACCTCCAACATCATGTACCAGAGTTAAACATGCCCTTTAATGTTGGGAACAACTCAAGGACAGCTGCTATCACTGCTACCGTTTAAAATTGTATTGCAAATTTCTGCGTGTCAGAAGACAAGAAAAAGAAGGAAAAGGTAAAACTGTTATTTATTTTAAGGAATTTTTAATTTTTTCAGATTCTTTTCCTTTATTGTTTATTACAAGGTATTGGATATAGTTCCCTGTGCTATACAGAAAATCTCGTTGTTTATCTATTTTATATATATTGTTATGTATTTGTTAATCCCTCCTAATTTATCCCTCTCCCCCTCTTTCCCCTCTGGTAACCATAAATTTGTTTTCTACGTCTGTGAGTCTGTTTCTGTTTTGTAAATAAACTCAGTTGTATTAATTTTTAGATTCCACAGATAAGTGATATCATATTTGTCTTTCTCTGTTGGACTTAGTATGATAATCTCAAGATTCATTCATGTTGCTGCAAATGGGAATATTTTGTTCTTTTTAATTGTTGAGTAATATTCCATCATATACATATACCACATCTTTTTTATTCTTTCATCTGTTGATGGGCATTTAGGTTGCTTCCATGTCTTGGTTATTGTAAATAGTGCTACTATGAACATTGGGGTGCATGTATCTTTTCAAATTAGAGTTTTCATCTTTTCTGGATATATGCCCAGGAGTGGGGTTGCTGGATCATATGGTAATTCTATTTTTATTTTATTTATTTATTTTAAAATTTTATTTATTTATTTATTGGCTGCGTTGGGTCTTCGTTGCTGTGTGCAGGCTTTCTCTAGTTGCAGCGAGTGGGAGCTGCTCTTTGTTGCGGTGCGCGGGCTTCTCATTGCAGTGGCTTCTCTTGTTGCAGAGCACAGGCTCTAGGCGCAGAGGCTTCAGTAGTTGTGGCACGCGGGCTCAGTAGTTGTGGCTCACAGGCTTCAGTAGTTGTGGCTCGCGGGCTGTAGAGCACAGGCTCAGTAGCTGTGATGTACGGGCTTCATTGCTCCACGGCATGTGGGATCTTCCCGGACCAGGGCCAAACCCATGTCCCCTGCATTGGCAGGAGGATTCTTAACCACTGCGCCACCAGGGAAGTCCCTATTTCTAGATTTTTTTTTTTTTTTGCAGTCGCGGGCCTCTCACTGTTGTGGCCTCTCCCGTTGCGGAGCACAGGCTACGGACGCGCAGGCTCAGCGGTCATGGCTCACGGGCCCAGCTGCTCCGCGGCATGTGGGATCCTCCCGGACCGGGGCACGAACCTGTGTCCCCTGCATCGGCAGGAGAACTCTCAACCACTGCGCCACCAGGGAAGCCCAACTCCCCATTCTTTATGTATGGGCTCGGAAGAAGGACTTCCTCCCAAAGAATGTTGTATGGAAAAAGGGAAAAACCTCACTTTACGGTGGAGAATCCTGACAAACACTACTTAAGCCGGGTGACCAAGGCCAGCATCAGCTGTGATAAGCTAAGTCGATAGTGTGTACCCTTCATATCATGTGATGAAAGTGGTACTTTACCTCTGTGGTCTTCCTCCTCCAAACCCCCAAATTCAATCTAACCATGAGAAAAACACCAGCCAAAACCAATGGGTGGGGGGCATTTTGCAAAACCTGCAACCAGCACCCTTCAAGATTGTCAAGGTCATCAAAACAAGAAAAGCCTGAGAAACAGTCACAGCCCAGAGGAGACTGTAGAAACATACCTAAACCCAATGTGGCACTTGGATAAGATCCTGGAACAAAAAAAGGATATTAGGTAAAAATTAAGGAAATCTACATAAAGTATGAATATTAGGTAATAGTGATAATGTATCAATATTGGCTCATTAACTGTGACAAATGTATTATACTAATGTTATATATTGATTGTTATATGGGAACTCGGTATTATCTGTAATTTTTCTGTAAAATTAAGACTATTCTAAAAGTAAAAGTTTATTTTTGAAGGGCCCACAACAGCAAGTTGCAAAAAGATATAATTTCTATTATACATCTCTATAATCAACTCATTAAAAAAAAGCCAGTACATGTGTCTTTGTGTATATTTCCATCGTATACACAAGCACGTGTATATAACTGATGTAGAACTATAGAACTGTGTAGTCCAATAACCACTAAGTCACATGTGGCTAAAAATAAGTAACATTTCCTCAGTCACACTGGCCACATTTCAAGCGCCCAGTGGCTAAATTGAGTGGTTACTATCTTGGACAGTGTAGATACGGAACATTTTCATCACTGCAGAAATTCTTTTGGACAGCACTGCCACAGGATATCACCACACTGAAAAGACACTTAAGAATATACACCAATCAAGTGATTACTCCTGGAAAAAGGAATTCACTTTTTATTCTATATTCTTCTGTATTCTTTCTGTTTTTTTACCTATGAACTTGATTTTATCATATTTTAAAATTTTTTTATTGAAGTATAGTTGATTTATGTATTCTTTCTATTCTTATGAACATATATTTTTATTGTTTTTGTAGTTTGAAATGTTTTTCACTTTAGTTTTTAAACATTTTGCATTAAAAAAAATGGTGCATCAGATGTTGTTTAAATGAGTTATTTTCCTCAGTATTTCTGTCATTTTCCATGTGTCTGTTAGAGGCAAAATTTGTTTAGCCAAATTTAGCACTGAAAGGCTGCTCAAAAACGTTGCCATTTGACAATCGAATAATTATGATAATATTAACGTCTTTTTCCTAAATTGTACCTTGATTTTTAAAAAATAAATAAAGGAGGCAAGAGTAGAAGGCTAACTTCTTCCTTCCTCAGATTTTAAAATGGTTGTACCCAATTTAAATGAAACTGATCTTCCATTATATCCTCTTCTCTATCATTCCCAATTATTCTCCCCAACACTCCACAGAGGAAAAGCTTAATTATTTTTCAGTGGATGGGCATTTTTAGACAAGTATGTGCGTATGTATGAATGTATTTATTTGTATTTTTTAGAAAATGTTAGAATTATCTTCAAATGCCAATCAAATAAAAATGCACAATAGCCCCAAAGGTGGAAAACAATATATTAATTTATTTCCAAGAAAACAACATGGAACATCATCGAAAACAAAGTTTTCAGGGCACCTCCAAGGGCTAGCAGAAATCCCTAGTCCAAACACTACGCTCTTCCAATATTAAAGTACTTAAGACATAGAAGAAATGACCAACAACGGACATGTAAACATCTTCTATTCCAAAAGATTTCTTGTTCTACAAGAGAAAGATCCAGTGTAAAGCAACCCTTCTTCTCAAGTGGTGTCATGTAAATTAGTTGAAAAAAAAAGGTATCTTCAGATTCTGCCTTTAGCTCTGGGTGTGTTCCCTACCCCTGGACTCTTCATCAACCAATACAGTTCCATCTTTTTTTTTTCGGTAGCAGGAAAAAAGAAGGCTTTACTTCAAAGTCACTAGAAGTCATTAAATTCAAAGTCATTAAATGTGATTAACATTCAGCAGGCACAATTACAGAAAAAAATAACGTTGCGTGGATTAAATGTATCATTAATTGTAGTTACTGTTGTTCATCAGAATAAATAAATATCAAGGAACTGGATGGAATATAAGAGTAGACTTCACATTTTTCTGACGTGACAGGACGTTTTCTCAATATTAACACTGAGACCATTCTGGGATGCTAAATATGGCTTTACTTCACCTTCTCTAAATGTTCCACCTCAGGAAATGAACAAAGGAGACCAATAAGAGAATCCCGATTCTCAGGCAGATCATGCGAGCTTCCCAAGAGCGTTGTGAGATTTGAAGGCCATGAGACGTAAAGGAGCAAGCAGAGCACCTACAGAACACAACTGGCTGTGGCTTCCGTCTCCTCCTTCCCTTCTCTCTTGGGAATGATCTCTGATTTAGACCTCATTTTGTAATTTCTGATATCCTGGGCCTGATATCACAGTCTACAACCCCGCACATGAAGGTGTTAAAATACAACCACCCTGTGAGATTCTCTAGAGCAGCCTTTCCAACGTGGACGTTATTGCCAGGACTTTTAGAGTGAAAAAGCTTCTGACTTACTTCTCCTCCTTGTCTCTGCACGTGTCTGGTGTATAATAAACACTCCAGAAATACTTATTGACCAGGTGCGGAATGAATGAATTGGATACATGAATGGGACGAAGTGACCAAAAGGCTCACACACATTTGAAAGCTTTTAAAAATCCAGGCACTCCTATGACCCCCAGGCATTGCAAAGCTACCCAGAGCACACTATGGACACCTTAAAGGCTCACGGGACAGAATTTGGTCTCCACTTTGCAGATAAGGTCACTTCGGTCACCCGGAGATATTCAAGGCTTGAGGCTAAACCCATGCAACAGCACCTCTCTTCTAGAAATTCTTCATGCTTCAAGAACTTTTCCATGTTCTCAATGGAAAACAAGAAAGAGGGATCAGAGCACATTCTGACAAATATTCAAGAAACTGATTCCCCCGGGGGCCTTTTACTGAAGAGGCAGGCAGTGACTGCTGTCTCCAATTCTGTCTCCTGTGAATGGCTTTAAATTCTATACAGAACTTTAGACACAGGAAACTTGAAAATGCTACTGTGGAAACTCAGGAACAAGATCTAGTTCTCAGTTCTAGGAGCTCAAGTTGTAAAGGAGATTGGTCAGTTACCCAAAAGGCGATTTCTATGCCTACGTGCAGGTAAGCAAAGAGCAGGGGATATCCATCAATGTGTGGCTAGAGATCTGTTACAAAAGATTCCTTCTTCAAAGAAACCCAGTTCTTTTTCTCCTAAATAGTATTATCCACAATTCTCCTTTCCATTAGAACATTTATATACGATGAAGATCAGATGCAAATCCGAGGACAGTTTATCACTGATGAGAACTTTAGCCTGATGCAGAGACGAGCCTCGAGAAACTGGCAGAGTGGCCAAAGCGCCAGCATCACTCTGCACAACCACCCTGACAGCGTATTTCACGGTGTCCAGAGAATATTTTAACATGTAATAATGTAGTCAGGTCCTGAAGCCATAACCTTGGCCCTGAGACTGTTCATGTAACCCAGGCTAAGTTTTTCTCACAAAGAAAAGCTCTCCCTTCCAGCTGCGATTTTCCTTCAGTCGTGAGTGGCAGTAGATCAAAAATACCAGCTGGGCTGTATTGCAATTTCACTCTGATTTAGGGTTCTTTCTCTAAGCCTCAGCTCTAGGCATTCCACAGTAAGGGGGTACGTAGTGAGCTCAAACTTGTTAGCAAAGAGGCTTGACGAATTAATCAACCACTTTAAGTCTCCGTTTCCATAGATACAAATGCCATGGACGTAGTGGCCTGCAAAGGAAGAGAACAAGAAACAGTGAAAACAGGCTTGTTTTTGAGTCAGGGGTAGTGAGCTTGCAAAATGGTAGGGTTACTGCCTAACTGCTGCGTGGCTAGCACTGTGTCAAGGGCTACAGGATTGTGATGAAACAGCGTTGTGCTGGCCCAGCCCACGAGGAAGTTAAACTTTCTACGGGGAGAAAGAGGTACAAACATGCATTTGAAGAAAATGAGAGTTAAATAATACAAAGAAGTAACACAACAGGCATCACAAGGCCGTTCATGGACTGTATCATGAACTTTGGATTTCATGGATGAGAAGTTCTAGAAGTGTAGAGATGGGAGAAGTCTTGATGGGCTGTATTGGTCAGGTCTCTTCTCTGAGCTCCAGCCTGGTCTAGCCAAGTGCCTACTTTATCTCTCCTCTTAGGTGAGTAATAAACCTCACCCACAGGTCAGGTCTCAAGTCCTTAATCCTCTCCAAGTCTTCCCCATCACAATCCACAGCAAGTCTATTCTTCAGTGCCCTGGGCACTTCTCCCCCTTTTTTTCACACTCCACATCCAATCTGGTAGCAATCCTGTCAGCTCAACCTTCAAAATACTAATAGAATTTGACTACTTTTCACCACCTCCACTACCTGCACCCTAGTCCAAGCCGCCTCCATCTTCCTGTCTCAATTGTTACAATAACTGGTTTCCAGCGCCTCCATTTTTGCCTGTTAGTACATTCCCAGCACAACAGCCAGAGTGATTGTTTTAAACGTAAGCAGAAGATGTCTCTGCTGCTCAAAACCCTCTAATGGCTTTTCATCTCATTTGCAGTAAAAGCCAGATTCCTACCAATGGCATTCAAGACTCCTCAGGCTCTCCTGGACTCACCTCCCACCACTTACTCATTCAGTTATAACCTTTAATAACCCTTCCCAGCTCGGTGCTTTGTGACCACCCAGAGGGGTGGGATAGGGAGGGTGGGAGGGAGGGAGATGCAAGAGGGAAGAGATATGGGAACATATGTATATGTATAACTGATTCACTTTGTTATACAGCAGAAACTAACACACCATTGTAAAGCAATTATACTCCAATAAAGATGTTTAAAAAAAAACACAAAAAAAAACCCTTCCACATTCACATCAGCCAGACTGGCCCCCTTGCTGGTCCCAAGCACCCGCAGACATCCATCCGTGTTTGCGCTTTCTCCCCTGTACCACGTCCTTCTACCAGACAGCCTCAAGGCTCCCTCTGGCACCACCCAGGGCTCGGCTTCAAGGTCAAGGTCATCTTCTCATATGAGGCTGTCTCTGACCTCCTTCCCTTCTTTCCTGATTCATTTTCCTTTTGACACTTATTACCAAACGTGTTTGTTTGTTTATTGTCCTTCTCCCCAGACTAGAATATAAGCTCCTGAAGAGCTAGAATTTGAGACCATTGTGTTCACTTCTGTGTCCCCAGCATCTGGAACAGTGCCTGGTAAATATTAGGTGTTAAATGAATAGTTGTTGAATAAAAGGATAGAGAAGGATGAGTGGAGAGTTCACAGGTGGGTAGAATTGGGAAGCATCAGGGGGATGGATGGGAAAGCATCAGGTGGGAAAATGCCTCTGGAAAACGTAGAGATGAGAACTTTCTGCTAGAATAGAGTTTGTTGGGGAACAGGTAAAAACAAAGAAGTTGGTACTCTTTCCAGCATTTCTTTGCATATGGTAGAAATATTATGGTTGACTGACTTGAAATAGATGAAAGTTGGGCCTCTTTTATCCCATAAAGGGGTTGCGCCTTTTTATCCCTTTCTTATGAAAGGGCTGGAGAAGTTGTGTTTTTTTTTTAATTTATTTTTGGCTGCGTTGGGCCTTCATTGCTGCACACCGGCTTTCTCTAGTTGTGGCGAGCAGGGGCTACTCTTCGTTGTGGTGTGCGGGCTTCTCATTGCGGTGGCTTCTCTTGTTGTGGAGCACAGGTTCTAGGCGCACAGGCTTCAGTAGTTGTTGCACGCGGGCTTCAGTAGTTGTGACTCGCGGGCTCTAGAGTTCAGGTTCAGTAGTTGCGGTGCACGGGCCTAGGTGCTCCGCAGCATGTGGGATCTTCCTGGACCAGGGCTCGAACCTGTGTCCCCTGCACTGGCAGGTGGATTCTTAACCACTGCGCCACCAGGGAAGTCCCTGAAGAACTTTTTTGAATAGAAGAATCAAATGATGAAATAGATTTTAGCAAGATTAATTTTGCAGAGCTTTGCAGGGTACATTAGGAACCAATCAAGAGACTACAGTAATTGTGTAAACCAGAGAGCAAATTTGTTCAAAGTTAATGGTTGCCATGAGTGGGAAAAGAAGGCTATTAGAGGCAGAGCACAGAAGGACTGACAGGGCTTGGTGATTAACTCAATGTGGCTGGAAGGAAGTTCAGTAGACAGAGAAAATCACTGGAGAAAAAAGCCGGAGTTTAAGGAAGTTAAAGAATAACCGGGTAGTGGGTGGGAAGAACTCGGTACATGGGCAGCACGCCCATGCTTAAGAAATGGCAGTGAACAGGAGAGAAGATTCCAGGCTGGATCAAGTAGAGGGTGCCTAGACAGCTTGCTCTTCAGGATAGAGGCAGTAAGTACACCTTTGCTTAGGAAAAGAAACAGCAGAGAGGGAGACACTGAGAATGCAAGAGAGCAATGGGATAATTTAGGGGGATCCACACACAAATGAGACCAGATGCTGACCTTGGTTGTGAGGATAGGTAACTTTTCCTTTTGAAACAGGAAGCAACAATGAGAGAATGGGTCCAAAATGTTCTAAGATGGCGGAAAGGGATGACATGACAAAGGAATTGATAAGGAGATTTTAATCAAATATCTTCAAAGTTCTTCCTAAAGTTGAATTGATCACCTTTTGAGAGTAGAAAGGCTGTTTTTTTTGTTGTTGTTGCTGTTGTTGTTGTTTTTTTTGCAGTACGCGGGCCTCTCACTGCTGTGGCTTCTCCCATCTTAGAGCACAGGCTCCGGACACGCAGGCTCAGCGGCCATGGCTCACGGGCCCAGCCGCTCCGCGGCATGTGGGATCCTCCCGGACCGGGGCACGAACCCGTGTCCCCCGCATCGGCAGGCAGACTCTCAACCACTGCGCCACCAGGGAATCCCAGAAAGGCTGTTTTAACATAAGATTGGGAGCTTAAAGGTGGGCAGAAAAGCTCAAAAGGTGTACCCCGGGAAGGGTACCAGGACAATAATGACGTAAATAAAAGAATAAGTAGGCAGCCAGAGGGTCTAGCTGAAGGTAGACAGTGGGTGAATTTAGGGCAGTTCTGTGACATTCTTCAACAATGTCCTGCTTCAGGAACCACAAATGGCAAAAAGTAGATGACAGTAATGATTACGTGCAGGAATCAGCCTTGTAGGATCAAACGGCAAGGGAACCTAAAATGTCAGCAAGAACAGTACACAACAGCTGACACAGTACACAGGCTGGACGAGGGGTCCTCAGAAAGAAACTGGTAGGAGGAGGAAAGTCGAACCTCTGGAAATTGCAATTTTAAAAAAGCAAACACATTTAAAACAACAACAACAACATATTTCAGATGTGGGGATACAGCAATGAACAAATCGATCAAAAATCCCAGCCCCGTTGGAGCTTCTATTCTGTTCTGGGGAGAAAGGCAGTAAAATATATAATATGTAAGTTGGTGAAGGAAACTAGTAGGGTGACAAACAGATCGTAATCAGAGATGGGAGCTCCAAGTTAAAGACCATAGGTCTAGAATGGTACTCTGTGATTTGAAATGCTAAGAGAGTTTGTAAAGTGGGCACACTCACAGGTTTGGAACAAATCCTATTACTCACAGCCAAGGGGAAAAGGTCCAGATTGTATTACTGACTTGCTGGTTTAGCAAAATGTTCTATTTCCTCTGGACTATGTCTTTTTCTTTTCCCTGTATAGTGGTCTGGGGACAAACAATTTTTATGCTATGAACGCTGTAAGGCTTTCAGATGGCATAACAGATACTAAGAGAAGAAAAAAACGAGACATTTGTTTGAGAGGGGCGTGGGCTACCCAAACGTCGTACCCTGTGTAGGTTCCTGGCTAGGGGCTATCTTCATGGCCCCTACCTGTCATGTGATTAGTAAAGGTCCCTATAAAAATGCAAACCTGACTTGTCTATACCTTCTCTACTGAGGTAGGTCCTGGATACAGGTGCTGACCATGAGACTGAAGGTAAAGCTCTACTTGGGTGGGTTGCGTGTGTGGCTGAAACACGGACAGGAGCTTTGTGGGGGGGGGGGCTAGAGCTGTAATGTAATCACATCACATGGGTCCTTGCCGTGGATGTTGGAGTCCTCAAGTGTCACAGCTGGAGAAGAGGTGGAGAAGCAGATCAGAGGATGACCAGATCAGAGGATGGTTCTAAAGGGAAGGTGATAGGGGTTATAGAAGGAAGTGGAGAAGGCAACCTATCCCAAATATTGGGACCCTGACTGATGGATATGGTCCACTTTCTAAGGAGATCAAAGAGCAAAGTACCCTCCTCTCCATCCCCCTCCCCCCACTAGGAGGGCAGGCCACGATGAGAATGCAGGCAGGTGGCAATGAGCTGTCCTCTGGGGAACATGTGGGCTGATTGAGGTAAAGATGTGACTATGCTTAAGAATAGAGTGTGCAGTGACATGAGGATGCTGTCATCCATAATGGAAGGGGACCCCCGAGAGACAAACACCGGAAAGAGGGTGAGTGTAATGGAGAGATGTAGAGAAGCAGCAGTTTGGATGTTCTCATCTGAAATGTTAGGTGTAGATAAGATGGGCTGAGGATAGAGCCGTAGACTGAGTGGAAGAGGAGAGGAGGCCAAACTTCGTTACCACAGGGAGAACGGGGCAAACCTTCCTATTGACTCACTCATCCGTTCGCTCAATCACTTATTCACTGTATATATATTTATTGCCTGTTCTTATGGGGTGAATTGTATTTCCCCCAGATTCATATGTTGAAGTCCTAACCTTCCAGCACCTCAGACTGTAACTGTGTTAGATGTAGGGCCTTTAAAGAAGTAATTAAGTTAAAATGAGGTCATGTGAATGAGCCCTAATCCAATATGACTGGTGTCCTTATAAGAAGAGATTAGGACACAGACACACCCAGAGGGTAGGTCATGTGAGCGCACAGGGAGAAGACGGCCATCTACAAGTCAAAGAGAGAGGCCTCAGAAGAAACTAAACCTGCTGACACATTGATCTCGGACTTCCAGCCTCCAGGACGGCGAGGAAACAAATTTCTGTTGTTTAAAACACTCAAGTCTGTGGTACTTTGTTATGTTAGTCCTAGTCAACAAGTACACATGCCCACCATGTACCAGGCAAGAGTTCGAATATACACCAGGACTGATGAAAAGCCTTCTTTACAAGGTTCTGTAGAAATGAAAACTACTTGTTTTCTAGTTCCTATCCACTTGGAGGGGAAACCTCTCTTGTTGCTGTCACCTGCCATCATGCCAGAGCTGCAGCAAACACCTTCAAGCCACCTGGAAACCTGTCCGTAGGGGGAGCAGAGGTGGACATGAGGGATGGGAGTCAGTGGTAAGAACATGACATCACTTCTCATCCTGACCACTGTCTCCTCGTAACCGCTGCACGCCCAAAGGAGCAGAGAGAGGAATGAATAATAAGGAAAAGGCAGAAACTTGCAAGAAGAAAGCACCGTTACAATTTGAACCTACCTCTACATCTCCCTAGGAAATTATAAGCTGGAGAATGTCTTTACGATACTTAGATTTACTTTTCAAGGACTGTGTCTTGAAGCCTCTTGCTACTCTGTTTAATAATTCACAGATTGGTCTAAATGAACCAGCAGGGCTCTCTGTGAGAACCCCTGTATTCCACAACCTTCATGCCAATACCAACAAGCAGTGTGACCTCACAGTTTCAAATGAATGCCTCACCGTGGCAGCCTCCGTGTTTATCTTCCATGTCAAACCACTTTACAGCTCTGAGGTTCCCGGCCCACGATGCGTTTGGCATGGAGCCAGGAACACCTGCAATGTTGATAAAGAAGAAAAGCAGAAATGAGAACCAAGAAAGAAAGGTGTCAATTTCATCAGTTAAGCTTCCAAGTCATGTTCATTTTCTCCCAGTATATTATCTTTCGTTTCAGATTTTTCATCATTGGTACAAAACCCCACAGGCTTATGGTGCGAACAGTTGGTAGTTATGGATCTAGACTTGCCACCAGTAAAAACAATCCATTGGTTTTTTTCATAATTTGTGCCCAAGCCTGCAAGAAATGCCATTGCATGAAAACATAATGCAGATGAAGAAGCTGGAGATTTTTGGTCTCAATGCCTTTTAATTAGATTTACTTTTTAAGGGACTTCCCTGGTGGTTCAGTGGTTAAGAATCCACCTGCCAATGCAGGAGACACGGGTTTGAGACCTGGCCTGGGAAGATCCCACATTCCACAGAGCAACTAAGCTCGTGCGCCACAACTACTGAGCCCCCATGCCACAACTACTGAAGCCTGTGCACCTAGAACCCGTGCTCCGCAAGAGAAGCCACCGCAATGAGAAGCCTGCGCACGGCAACGAAGAGTAGCCCCTGCTTGCCACAACTAGAGAAAGCCCGCGTGCAGCAAAGAAGACCCAATGCAGCCAAAAAATAAATAAATAATAAATATTATTTTAAAAAAATAAATTTACGTTAAAAAATTTTATTGGAGTATAGTTGATTTACAATGTTGTGTTAGTTTCAAGTGTACAGCAAAGTGAATCAGATATGTATTTCCATTCTTTTTCAGATTCTTTTCCCATATAGGTTATTACAGAATATTGAGTAGAATTCCCTGTGATATACAGTAGCTCCTTATTAGTTATCTATTTAATATATAGTAGTGTGTGTATGTTAATCCCAGTCTCCTAATTTATCACTTCCCCCCATGTGTCCCCTTTGGTAACCATAAGTTTAATTTCAAGATCTGTGGGTCTGTTTCTGTTTTGTAAATAAGTTCATTTGTATCATTTTTAAAATTAGATTCCACATATAAGTGATATCATATGATATTTGTATTTCTCTGTCTGACTTACTTCACTTAGTATGATAATCTCTAACTCCACTCATGTTGCTGGAAATGGCATTATTTCATTCTTTTTTATGGCTAAGTAATATTCCATTGTATATATGTACCAAGCAAGTCTTCCATTGTATATATGTACCAAGCAACATTTAGGTTGCTTCCATGTCTTGGCTATTGTAAATAGTGCAATTATCAAAAAATTTTAGGACTTCCCAGATAACAGTTATCTTAAAGTGAAAGCTCACAAAACAGGCCACTCGATGTCTTTAGTGCTAATTAAGTGAGAGAGATTCCAGGGTCGCTCCTATATGAAGTTTGCAATATTAGACATATGGAACTCAAGCAATCTTTTAACACAATATCTTTTTTATATGCTAAAGTTCTTGTTGAGCATTTGGTGTAGCCAACCACTGTGCTGGGCAGTAAGGGATAGTGTAAGTGACAAGACACAATTCCTGATCATCCAGTAAAGATGATGAGCCCCCAAGCAATGGTTTTTTTTTTTTTTTTGTCTGTGTTGGGCCTTTGTTGCTGTGCACGGGCTTTCTCTAGTTGCAGCGAGCAGGGGCTACTCTTCACTGCAGTGTGCAGGCTTCTCACTGCAGTGGCTTCTCTTGTTGCGGAACACAGGCTCTAGGCACGCGGGCTCAGCAGTGGCAGCACGTGGGCTCAGTAGCTGTGGCTCGCGGGCTCTAGAGCACAGGCTCAGTAGTTGTGGCGCACAGGCTTAGTTGCTGTGCGGAGTGTGGGCTCTTCCCGGACCAGGGCGCGAACCCGTGTCCCCTGCATTGGCAGGTGGATTCTCAACCACTGCGCCACCAGGGAAGCCCAAGCAATGGGTTTTGAGCTTTGAGTTTTTCCTAGACTGGTGTGCACTCATCTACCCATCTTCTCTATTTCTTTCAGTTGTTCTTTTGACCAAAAGTTGCTGACCAATACTTGCTGATGCATTATCAATTAATATTTAACTCACCTTTGAACTGTAAAAAGCCTTTAAAAGGGAGAGGAGGGCATTAGGCTGCCATTCTGCTAAACCAGGGCTTTTCCATGTTGGCACTATTGACAACGTAAGCTGGACAACTCCTTGTTGTAGAATCTTCCTTTGCATTGTGTGATGTTTAGCAGCCTCTCTGGACTCCACCCACCTGATGCCAGTAATACATATCCCCCCAATTGTGACAATCAAAAATATCTTCAGGGCTTCCCTGGTGGCGCAGTGGTTGAGAGTCCACCTGCCGATGCAGGGGACACGGGTTCGTGCCCCGGTCCGGGAAGATCCCACATGCCGCGGAGTGGCTGGGCCCGTGAGCCATGGCCGCTGAGCCTGCGCGTCCGGAGCCTGTGCTCCGCAACGGGAGAGGCCACAACAGTGAGAGGCCCGCGTACCACACACACAAAAAAAAATATCTTCAGATATTGCCGAATGTTCCCTGGTGGTGCAAAATTTCCCTATTTGAGAAACACTGTGCTATCTCCAATAACCTTCTCCATCTCAATATTTGGATGGGTCACAGAGATTGAAGGGTCCATTTAATCACATACAGTAGGACTTCCCTGGTGGCGCAGTGGTTAAGGATCCGCCTGCCAGTGCAGGGGACACAGGTTCGAGCCCTGGTCCGGGAAGATGCCACATGCCACAGAGCAACTAAGCCCGCGTGCCACAACTACTGAGCCTGCGCTCTGGAGCCCACGAGCCACAACTACTGAACTGAAGCCCGTGCACCTAGAGCTCATGCTCTGCAACAAGAGAAGCCACCGCAGTGAGAAGCCCGCACACCGCAACGAAGAGAAGCCCCAGCTCGCTGCAACTAGAAAAAAGCCCAGGCACAGCAATGAAGACCCAACGCAGCCAAAAAAAAAAAAAAAATTTGTTAAGAACAAAGGTATGGATACCAAGGGGGAAAGGGGTGCCTTGGGAGGAATTGGGAGACTGGGATTGACACACATACATTGTTGTTACTATGTTGGGAGGAATTGGGAGACTGGGATTGACACATATACACTGTTGTTATTATGTATAAAATGGACAACTGATGGGAACATGCTGTATAGCACAGGGAACTCACCTAGTGCACTGTGGTAACCTAAATGGAAGGGAAGTCCAAAAGGGAGGGGATATCTGTATGCGTATGGCTGATACATTCTGTTGTGCAGTGGAGGCTAACACAACATGGTAAAGCAACCATACTCCAATAAAACTTAGTTATAAATTTTTTTTTCCTCTTTAAAAACACTAATGAAAACGTGCATTTTCAGACAGAAAATAAGCCCTGTTCTTTTGCCCTCATGTCACATAATAATATATGAGGATTTAAATCAAGTATCGTACTAAGGTCTCCCAGCTAAAATTAAATTTTGCACAGCCTTTTCTGAAAATGGTATGAGTCATCACCCCTAATGGCTCTCTATCAGGCAGGATTCTTTTCTTGCTGCCAAACTTGAAAAGTTTGTTTATAAATGTGGAGTACTCAAGAAAAACACTCTTTATTAAGCAATATTTCTTCCTATTGTTTTAGTTTGCATTTAATACTTTAAAAGTTACTTTACTGCTTGCCTATCCAAAAAGAAGCTTCTTTATTTTGTTCTTAGGACACATTTTTAAAGAATTTAGAATAAAACTCGCCTTGGTTAAGTTAGGGGGTGGGGAGAGGGCAGTTTGGAAAGCAAAGAGATAATCTGGTATATTGACTCATGTCAGCAAGATTAGCTGATGTGATTTTTGTGTCTATTTTGATTAAATAACTATAGCAGAAAAGTATGAATAAAACATTGCCACGACAAAAGGTCCCTTAACCTCTTCTAAAGGACTGCATTTTTAAAAGGACAAAATATTTTTCTTCCCTTTCATTCTCATTAATATTGATCATCACAAACTCTTATTCTGAAACACATTCCATTATTCTAGAGATAAGACCATGACATTTATAATTAATGACTGTTGTCTTTTAAATAAACACATAGGGAGTTCCCCAGTGGTCCTGTGGTTAGGACTCTTGTGCTTCTGCTGCTGAGGGCCCAGGTTCAATCCCTGGTCCGGGAAATAAGATCCCACAAGCTGCATGGCGTGGCCAAGAAAAAAACAAACAAAAAAACCCCCCATGCACAACACCTATTAACCTCCTGCTAATAAAATTACAAACCTCAACTTCTATACTTTCTATTTGATGATAAATCTCAAACATGTTTGTTTAAATACTATTCATGTTGTGCTTTAAAAATCACACTTGTAAGAGCAGAAGTAGGGAGAGGGACAAACACAGACAATGTTGAATTCTACTTTGGTTTTTTTTGTTGTTGCTTTTTGTTTTTTTTGCAAAGAGCCCGTGAGGCACAGCCATATCCGGCAGGAATGGGAATAGACCCTTGCTTCTGAAATGTGGTTCTTGGACTGAGAGCTTCAATATCACCTGGAAGTTTGTTAGAAATGTAGCATCTCGGGCCCCGCCCAGACCTCCTGCACCAGAATCAGCATCTCCACAAGGTCCCCAGAAGATTCCTGTGCACAATCAAGCCTGGGCTACAGTCGACACTGCCAAGGACTCAGCTTCATTTCCTCCTCTCCCGGAAGTCCTCCCCTCAGCCTTCATCGAGTTTCCAGGTAGCTTCTCATCCTCCTATTCTCACTCAAATTCTGCTCTTATGAAGGAATCTGGTACTTACATCCTAGTGCCCTCTGCTGAGAATACAGTTGACCCCTGAACAACACGGGTTTGAACTGCGAGGGTCCATTCATATGCGGATTTTTTTCAGTAGTAAATACTACAGTCTTTTGCAATAGGAGGTTGGTTGAATCCATGGATGCAGAACCTTGGATTCAGAGTAACCTTGGATACAGGGGAACCTCAGATACAGAGGACACTCAGACACACAGGAAACTTGGATACAGAGGGCCAGCTATAAGTTATACTCGGATTTTCGGGAGTCTGCACCCCGACCTCTGCGTTGTTCAAGGGTCAACTGTTTATG